CACTTAGTGTAATCCCAACACCAAGAATACAAATCCCTTACAATAAAGTAAGAAAACAAACCGCAACCGAGTAATTCTCCCAACACGGAGTAGATTGTTGCAAATACAATGAAGTCCTTTAGAATATGGCAATATCTCTCAAAGACTCAAGCAATGAGGAAAAACTCAAGCAAGAAATGATTTAGCAATCAAAACAATTGTCTTGCTTGGATATAAGGAGGGGTTTGAGTAGAATCTCTTTGGATATTCAAAGGATATGTTTTGAAGTGTTTTCAATGTATATTCTTGGACAAAAATACGAGATAGGGTAGTTTATAGAAGTTAGGGAGTGGATAGGGATGAAAAACATTCAAAAACTAGCCGTTTGGTAGTTGAAACTGTCGAACTATTCGACTAAGTCAAGACTTAGTCGACTAGTTTTGGTGAAACTGAAATCTGATGTATTCAACTAGTTCTGGATTTATTCAACTAAGTCAGAATAGAATTTCAGGGATTTAGTCGAATAGTTTTCAATTTATTCGAATAGTTTGCTAAAAAAATGTGTTTTAAAGGTAGGATGATAAGGGAATGAACCTTAGAGATGCCATACTCTTTAACACAAAATCTAAGACCTAAAACACTACCCAACTAAGGAAACAACCTCTTCGGTCTTGTTCCTTCCACCGATGCTCAAGTCCCTTCTTCACAGACGGATATGAACTTGTTGTAGCTTTGATTCTTAGCCTTGATGCACAAAATGATGATGATGTTTTGTCACCCTTTTGTCATTATCAAAACCTAAAAGACAATGGGCAAAGGACATTGCAAAAATATATATTCATGATTGCACATTGTCCAACAGATTTGATCTGATTAGATCCGAACTGATGCATTTAAAGATTATGTCAGGGAATTAGGACACAACCTATACAAGTAAACAGGTTTCCTGTGAAAGTTTTATATGATCTTATTAGGTCCGAAATTCATTTAATCCCATTAGATCTGGTTTGGTCTAATTTGATCTGATCTTATTGGATTTGAATTTGATTTAATCCGATTAGATAAATTTTGGTATGATTTGATCAAATTAGGTCCGATCTGATGCATTTAAAGATTATATCAGGCAATTAGGATACAACTTATACAAGTAAATATATCTTCTTTGAAGATTTGATCTAATCTTATTATATTCCATTTTCATTTGATCAGATTAGATCTATTTTGCTTCAATTTAATCTAATTAAGTCTGATATGATCTTTTAAAGATTACATCATGAAAATAGGACACAACATATATAAAAGTTTAGATTTTCTTGGAAGAATTAATCTGATCTTATTGTTTTTGAATTTGATTTGATCTGATTAGATCTGTTTTTGTCCGATTTGATCTAATTAGGTACGATCCGATGCATGTAAAGATTAGATCTGTTATTGTATTTTAATTAAATAAAATAATATTTTGAAAATATTTGATATAATAAATCTAATAAAACTCTGTTTGTATCAATATCTAATATCATTTTTATTTAATTTGAGGTCAAAGTTTTCCTATTCTGATCTAAAAAATTCAAAACTTGATAAATACTCATGGACGGGAGGAGTATGTTAATATAGTACACTAATTACTAATGTACATGTAAATTTAAATGTGTGATGCTTTAGTGTTGGAGAAATTACGGGTTTAAAGTGGTATAAGTGAAACTTATATCTCAAACTTGTCATTTTGAATTGTTTATATACGATAATCTATTCTTTTAAAGAATTAAAAGACACTTTATAGATTCTAATCGTCTCAATATTTGGTGACTGATCTGATTTATATATAAAGATTTTAAGTAAATAACTGAATAGTGTTATTTAAGTGAAACAATTAAGATGGACCAGGTGGAACTTATAAATGCTTATTGATTGATTATGAAAGTTATAACGTTGGGTAAGGATCGACGAATTGAATCCAATGACATGAACGGGTCTCAATTTGGAGCAAGTTGATCTGAAAAATATGTTTTACCCAAACACATTATTTTAAATTATAGAGTACAAAACCCTAGAGTATATATATAGGATCTTTCGCCTGCTTCGATTGAAATCGCCGTCGCCGTCCTCGTTCCTCTTTCTTCTTAGATTCGCAGACATGGGTTACGACGGCAAGGCGGAAGAGTCCGACCGGTGACGATCTACAGAGGCGACGACGGGGAGCGATCTGGGAACCTCGAACAAGCGAGCTCCAATGACGTCTGGCCAAATCCGAGCGACAGCGCTCTATCCAACGGCGAGTTCCGGCAGCGACGCCAGTGACCGACCACAGTGGACCAGCAACGATTTCTGCCGGCAACCCTCTGTCCAGCGACCTCTGTTCCAGCGATGTCCAGCAGCTCCGGCAGAGTAACAACCATCAACGATGACAGATCCTGGCGGGCTTGGGCAGTGACGGGCTTGCTTGGGCAGCGATACCGGACTATGCGTGACGCCGTCTACCCTCTCCGTTTGGGAGTTTCTCTCTACAGGAACTACAGTGCTGGCCAGTGTTCACGTAACACGGTTCACAGAGGATCCTAAACTACTGCTTCCTCCGTGATTTTGTTGTGTTTTTTGTGCAAAATTTGGATCTCCAAGATCGACTTCAATCGAGGATTCCATTTTTGAGTTTATCTTTTTTGATTTGGGAATGGATTTTGCTGAAATTGGTATGTCTTCTTCATCTTCTTCTTCATTTAATATTGATTATTTAAATTGTATCCTATGGCTGCAAAATAGTGACTGCCCTGCCAAGATATAGATTTAGTACACTAAATGCCTCAAGATTTGGTAGCCTTATATCATCACAACCTCTATACACATAGAATGTCTATATTTGTGTGTATATAATCTCAGATAAAAGGATGCACTCCACTTAGTCAGATTTAATGTTAATAAAATGCTAATTTATTCTTTTTTGTATGCACTTGTTTCTTCTTTTCTTGATAAATTATTATTTTAAATTGCTTGAATAATTTCAACATACAGGTAGCACATGGTGTCATGTTGATAACGTGCAAAGAGACTAAAGAGGGTAAAATCCTTGAAATTCATGTTGTAAAAAAGGATAGCTTAGTGCATAAAACATCGTGCCAGGTGAGGGTTTCATGCAATTGCACATACATACACAAGAGAAAACAATCTATGTTTTTTATTAGGTTTTAAGAACTTTAATTTACTATTTAGCATAGTGGAAATGCTTTTGTTTGTTTGGTTAATTGAGCAAATCATTGCAGGGTACAAACTTAAAAAAATGGAGACTTGTGGTGAACAAGATTGTTAGAGGATGACACCTTTTCTGGTCACTTGAGAAGCTTCTTTAGTGCGGTGTGGGATTCATTTATGTATCTATTTGGTCAGTCATATGTGTCCTCTGCCAGTGCTATGTCACTGTTAGTTGCAATAGTATGTTTTGTGCCATCAAAGGTATCTCGTAAAAAGCGAGTGATTATCGGGATTCTTCATGTGTCTGCCCACTTGGCAGCAGCATTGATCCTCACAATCTTGTTGGAACTTGGTGTTGAGACATGTATTAGGCATAATCTACTCGGCACATCAGGTTAGTGAGATTTTGACTGCATTCTTTTTTTTATTTTCATATTTCATTGACAGTTAGAGAGAACATAAGACTAATGTACATAGGAATGTTATGTTGTTTGGTGCATAGGTTATCATACCCTATATGAATGGTACCGATCAGACGAGAGCGAGCATTTCCCAGATGCTACTAGTCTTAAAGAACGTTTAGAGCGATGGACATTTGGCCTTTATCCAGCCTGCATCAAGTATCTCATGTCTGCATTTGATGTGCTTGAGGCAAGAACAAATGTTAACTACTACTGCAATTAATGCTAATCAATTACTAGTTAGTTTATTTTTTTATGGGTTGCTTGGGCCAGGTAATGGCGGTGACAAGGAACAACATATGCAAGAGTGGGATGGAATCACTGTCGCGTGGGATTGCTGCAATATATTATGCGTTTGTGCGTGAAAGAGGTGTTTGAAGTACAACTAAGTTTAGTTATCACATTCATGCAATTTAATTGTTTTTTAATACTAGGTTGAATGCAACCAATTACTAGGTCGATCCAGAAGAGCAAGACTTTCATGAAGTTGATAAAGGTTATTGATATGAATCGGTTACTACATTGGGGATGACATGTATGAGACAATGATTGAATTTGCAAGGCATTTCATGGAGTATCATGCAACTTGAACAATTTAAGTATGATATGGGAACAAATGACAAATTTAGTTGGCTCAATGGGCAATTATGATGTCCTTTTATTTATGTAAATATTAATTATTTGATGATATTAATATTTTGAATGTATGATTTTAGATGTATTGTAATTTTTGGAATTTATTTTTGTTTTAGGATTAATATTTTATAATTGAAACAAATTTTAATGATTAAAAATGGGTGCCTTTGATTTAGAGAGACAATACAAAATAACCATAGTTGGATAAACAATTAGACCACTATTCAACTTGATAGTTTGAATAGTATACGGACAACTACACAAACCTGTAGTCTTAATAATTGTTAGTCATCTAAAACACACAATTGTTTGAAATGAAACAAAATAGTCTTATACGTTCTACATATACCATAGAAAATAAATACAGTTGTTTGCATATTATTCAATCGTTATACAACAAAAACAAATAGTTGTTTCAAATAAGACCAAAGTAGTAGTCTTAATTTGTACATACAACACAAAATAACAGTTGTTTGATGAAAATATTTGTAGTGGTCTTCCGAGCAGCTGTCTGATAATCAATTACACTACTGTTCAAAAATATTGTTTGAATATTTTAAGGACAACTGCAAAAAAGTGTAGTGTTATTGCACACTATACAATTGAAAGAAACGGTTATTTAACATACAACAAAATTAGTAGTTTATGTTTTAGAAATATAACACTAGATAACAATTGTCTGATACTATTTTTGTTTAGTAGTCTTCCGAGCAGCAGTCTGATATATCTTTCAACTACTTAAGAAATTAGATATCTATATTTTTTACCGACAACACCAAACAATAGGAGTCTGAAGTAAAAAACAACAGTAGTATATATTATAGATAGAAAACAAAAAATCACAATTGTCTTTTACTCTAGAAAACAGATGTCTTACTCATACGAGAACTACTTCAAAAACATGTACTCTGAAAGATCACAAAATAGGTGTCGTCAACCGCACTACACAACTTTTTTTAAATAGTAGTCTGTAAATATATCAGACAGCTGCTCGGAAGACTACTAAAACCAACACAGTTAGACAACTAAAAGAAAAGTTGTCAGCATCTGTTTTTGACGTAGTGTATCGATGGAGAAACTGGGATGGGGCATGTGGAAGAAGCAGAGAAGAATGGAAGAATTAGGGACTCTCAAATGATTCAAGATGATGATGATGATAAGGGGGAGGAGGAGAAGGCATTTGGGGACAGTTTCGACAAAGAGAATAATGGCAGAGGAAAATGTGTTGCTACTACTGCTAAGACTAGAACTGAAGCCCCCGAGGCCAGAAGTTGTGAGAGTCCATGGCGAATGAGGGCTCGAAGACTGCATATGACGATTAGGAATCTGGAGAGATTGGTTGGTTTGATGGAAAACCCAGAGAGAGATCACCCATGATAGCCTCCTCCTCGGAGCCTCTAGAGATTGGTTGATTTGGTGAAAGTAATTGAATCATAATATGTTGTTGTAATTTTGCACTTGCTTGGTTGAAATGAACACACAGCCAAACTGTACATTAATTGTTGTAACTTTGCACTTGCTTGGATGGGCATCCAACCAACCGTACATGGTTTTGTGCTTTTTTTTTTTATCTCAAATTAAATTTTATATATATATATATATATATATATATATATATATATATATATAATGATTTTTTTTGTAATAAAGAGAGAAATTTAAAGACGCTATATTCTATCATAAAAACTTATAATTTTGTATAATACTTAATAGTATTAAATGAATTTATGAAGAGATTTTTCCTCATTAAAAGAACATTTTTATGAGGGTTAAAATAATCACATTAAATAGTTTTAATGAGAGAACTTAGATACCGTCATTATTTCTAATTAACCACGGAGCCTATAATGACGGGCAATGAGAGTAAATTTCCTCTCATCAAAACCGTATTTTGATATGGCACAGACAACTACTAATAGATTACCGTTTCTATGAACTTTAAAAACAGATGTTGGCTAAGTATCTAGACTATTTTTAAGAAAGAGTATTGTATTCTTATTATAAACAACAATGACAAAAATACTATATGACATAGACAACTAACAATAGATTATTGTTTCTCATAACTTTAAAAACAGTTCTAGACTGAATAACTAGACTACTGTTTAAAAAGAATATTCTTAACTTATTATTGACAACTGTCATAACAAAAACTGTATTTTGGTATGACACAGACAACCAATAATAGAATACCATTTCTCAAAACTTTAAATGTAGTTTTAAGCATAATAGCTAGACTACTACTTTTGTAGCCAACAACAACAAACAGTAGTCTGATATTTTTAACTACTATTTTTCCATAAACAGCAATTAATCAACAGTCGTCTAAAACTGTTTTTGGTGTAGTGTTGGCACTCTAGAGGTCAAAGAGAACATGAAAAGAAAGCCTAAAGGTGCAGATTCTTGAAAAAAAACAGCATGTATAGATCAGATTTTCTGAGCAAATGTAACACCAAATATTCAAGAATAAGACCTTTGGCATCATGTTATAGCTAATTCAGTTCCTAAAGAAATTGTAAGGGAAATAAGCACTTTAACCAACATAAATTCAGCTTGGAAATCAACCAAAAAGTGTATATTTTTTTTCTTAAAAAACTTTAGATGAGACTTCGCAAATCAGCACCTCATGCATCCTTATCAACATATGATTAGTTGCAACTAAATTCAACAAGTAAAAGTGCATGAATCAGCATTCCAAATGCATATTTAACAAAGAAAGATCAGATTTTTTACAAGAAGCATTCCGAGAATGAAAAAACAAAAGCAATGTCATCCACATGCAACCTCTATGGTCAAATCAACTAATACCAACAAGTAAAAGCGCAAAAAAGATTCTCAAAATATAGCTTTTATGAAAAATTGGCCAAAAATTTCACAAAAGCAAAAAATCGAGCACAAATTCAGCAGCAAAGACCATTAAAAAATGTTGATTTCAGTTGTTCTAGCATACATACCACACCTAACCTCAATGTTATGCATTTAACATGTGAAATGATCTTGCACAAAAGGTTTGAGGCATGGTTTTTAGATAAACACAAAAAGAACATAAGTACATCCTAAATTGATTTTATACAAAACTCTCCCTAACAATGGCGCCAAAATTTGTTGAAGACCCGTCGTGCGGTCCAAAACAAATTAAAAATTTATAAATAACCTTAACTAACCCCCAATGTATAATCAAATAAAACTATAGCTAGGGAAAGTAAGGGTCAATCTCACGGAGAAAGCTTGTACTTTTTAAAACCAATTTAGTATGCAAACACGTTGTCACGAAATAAAATAAAAAAAACTAACTACCACACAATATGATAATACGTATAAAACTTATAATAAAACTTATAACTAAATAAAGATAAAAACTTATAAATATAACTTTTATAAACAAAGAACTTATAATATAACTTAAACACAACACAAGGGGGGGGGGGGGTTGAATAAAAACTAACATTTTTGGGTTTTTATTTTTCTTATATTTTTGGTTTTTTTGATAAAACGGGGGAAAACAAGCTTAAAAGATAATCAACTTCGCCAACTAAGGTAACCCAAGAAACACTGCCAAGAACCCGAAACAAAATGAAAAAGAGAACAATCACAAGTCGAACATTACACATATAATAGGCACGTATGTAAGTTTGTGGGGGGGCAGCGGATAACACCAAACACAAGCTATGCAAACAAAACAATCAACTATGTCGTAGAGAAGAAACTGTAGCACTGTCACAATAACAGATGACTGACAGAGTGCTATAACAACTTCTCTTTCACAAGCACACACGTAGAAAATAAAGTAAAAATAGCAAGCAAGACACCAGAATTGTTCACGCAGTTCGGAGCAAATTCTCCTACGTCTACAAGGCCCATGTCTGTGTAATAGCCCTTCCACTAAATCACCGTAAGAATTACACAATCAATCACAACAGGACCTTCTAATGTATTGATTTGTCTACTTACGAATGACTTGACGACAAACTCGGTTTGTGCCTATCTCCACGGCTTGTTACACCTTCTTAAAGATTTTCTTCAAGGACGTAGATTCCAATACACCTTCAAACAAAGATTCTCCTTGATCTACAAACATATGCAGGCTGATCCGAAGCTCATACATCGAGATTGAACCATTGGAATTCGATCTCCACCGTTCAAATTGAAGCTCCACGAGTCCTTAGACTCCTCCTAAAATTTTAGCACGATGAGACAAAGTTTGGTACTCCGATCATCGACAAAACCATAGCTGCGTTTTTTGCAAAAAATCGGCGGCAATATGCAGATTGTAACTTTGATAACAAAAGATCTGTAACTCCAATTGACGTAAAAATTTAACACGTTGAAGCCCTATGTGATGGGAACATCCTCTCAAAATTTCAGAACAATCCAATGGTCGGATCTCTGGCGATGATCAAATTCGTGCAGGCTGTCCAGAAAATTTGCACTATTAAACTCTGCACCTTGTTTTTCCAATTTTCGGATTTGCTTCAGTAGTTTCATATTTTTCCACCACAAAACCCTAAGGGAGGGCAAAGATAATATATGGAATAGAATAACCTTGTTAGAGTGTTCTTAGGAGACTCAACCATGGCTTCCTCCTTAAGAATAGTAAACCAAGTAGGTTTAGATATCAAGTAGGATTAGAGTTCTCTCTTTAAGCTCTTTCCTCTTTCTCTTCCTTCACATGCTAGGACTCTAAGTCCAAATAAAATATCTAAAATAATTCTAGGTAAATCTATTCGTTTGTCAAAAAATAATGTCAACACAATTTGGAACTAACAATCTCCCTCTTTGGCAATTTTTTGACAAAAACGAATCTCAGCTATTTTGAACCTCTTCTCCCCCTTTTTTGCATAAAAAATGCCAAAGGTTTTATTAAGAATATTGGGGAAAAAATAGAAGAGTAACATTCAAGCGAGCTTGAGCATTACAATAATGAATATGAAAATAGACATAGACTTTGTCACATCAACCTGAGCCATGTTGAGCGACTCCCCCTCGGACGATCCATCTGAAAAAGTAATAATGTGCAAGAATAAAAAGACATGTATACAACCAGCAAAAACATCTATGCTCTAAGGTATTCCACGCTGGATATGAAACACCTCTTAGAGCATCCTCTAAATCAGGTAGAGATGGATGTGCACAGACCCAAGTGGGATCTAAGTATACCAAACCGATTCCC